ATGCGCCCTAACATCATGCTAGGCACACAGCAGGAGCTCAATAAGTATCTGTTGATTAATGGAAGTTAAGCCATGAAAGACAGTCCTCTTTGGGGAGCTCTATCCTTTAAGTGGATCAATTAGCTTGTCTGCTCTCCATCATGGCTGATGGGATATTGTGAATGACTCATGTCTACAATCAGCAGATTTAGGTACTCATCATTCTGAGTAGCTTTCCACTTTTTCAGGCTACCAAAAATAGCTGTACAATAAACTCTCATTATGCAAAATGATGGTAAAATGAAGCATTCTACTTAGTGAAATATTCTGGTGAGAAGAAATGTCTGTCTGTGTGTGTATATAAAATTATAAGTTATATATATATTTCACAAAAGGAAACTATAATAAGATATACTTATTAAAATTATTCCAGACATGATTCAGTTCTATCATCAAAAAATAATCTCATAGTAGATCATAGATTAATCACAGATCTTGCTGAAGATTAATACAACATCACTTTTGAGAGCAGATGTGTAGTCCTATAGATGCTACATATTTAAAAGAAAGTTAAATCTCACTTGATGATACATAGTACCTTTGAATATATCCCATTATCAACATAATTTTCGATAACTTAATTCTCCCATTCTTCTCAATGTCATCAAGTCGATTCCAGTTCAAAGTGACCATTCAACCTGTTTCCAAGGCTATAAGATGGTACTAGTACAAGATGGGCAATCTCTTCCCATAAAGATTTACCACCTTGGAAACCTTATGGAAGGTCGTCATGAGTTATATAAAACTCAATGGCACTGGACTAAATCTTCATAGAAGGAAATTTCCCAACTTCATCTTTTCAAGTAGCTGGTGGATTCCTGTGGGCGATGGATTCATTTAGCACCTCAACATGAAATGTACCAAGCCACTAGCAATCACTAAAGTACCCCCACCTACACAGAATTCTTCATTAGTTTAATTCTGGATAAATAACTATTAAAAATATTTGGGGATGAAGGAAATGGGAAGGACCTTTTGTAAAAAAATGTATTCACACTATTTTAAAAAACAATATAAAATTTAAAATATATTATTCTGAGATTTTTAAATACATAAAGAGGAAAAAAGCATGAGATGAAATTTCCAAGGAATCTGAATTGTATTACTTTCCTACTCTCAACTTGTCTATCTCACATTACTCTCTCTTTGAAATTCTGCTTTTAATCACATCACCAGCAATTTCAATAGAAATTGAATTGGAAAAATCCATTTTTAAATATGTCTACAAAGCTTTTAAGAGGTCCTAGTGGCACAATGGTTAAGAGCTTACTGACTAACTGAAAGGTCAGTAGCTCAAACTCACCAGTGTCTTCAAGGGAGAAAAATGTGACAATCAATCTGCTTCAGCAAAGATTATAGCCTTGGGAATCCTGTGGGGCTAATCTACTCTGTCCTACAGGGTCCAAATTAGTTGGAAATGATTCAACACTGGGCTTTGAACCAGTTAAATCATGACTGATTAAGCAAAGCTGGGAAAGATCCAAATGTTTTAAATTTAGGTCATCAAGAATATTTACCACAATTGGGAAAATGACGGGTTTTAGCCAGGGAGTAGGAGATTCCAAAGAGCATAGTGAGCCTGATGAGTGCCAATGGATTACTGCCAAGAAAGTAGAAAGCTATAAACAGTCAAGGCAGCATGGAAGGCCACCATCTTTGGGCTAGGCACCCTTGTTTTCAACTCTGCTAGTCAAGATATTTGATTACTGAGCTCTGGTGGCCTACGTGGTAAGAAGCTGCACTGTAATCCCAAAGGCATCTGGTTCAATCCACTAGATGCATCATGGCGGGGGGGGGGGGAATGTGCAATCTTCTCCCCTGCCATTTATTGCTTCTGAAGACCCTCTGGAAGGTCACATATGGACGAGTTCTGACTCCACGGCATACAACATGAATATACAACATACATTGCCCTTGTTTTCAAAGATATTACATTACTAGGAGGGCTTTGACATATAATTTTCCCAAATCTGTGTAGTATTCCAGTTCACTCACATTTAAAAAATTTGGGAGCCATGCTGTTGGGTCCTTCAGTCATGACTGGACTGAGCTGAACCATTTCGAAGCCCTCATTCATTCAGTAACATACACAACAGATACTAATGGATACAAAAAATAACAAGCATTGTTTCAAATTTATTCTCATTTGAGACATTTTATTTCTTTATCCACATATGCTCAGAACTCTTTCAATAATATACATATCTTTTAAATGAGCCCAACAGTATAAAAACTTACTTAAGTTAGTAGATCAGTGGTTTCAAGCTTCACCGAACATTAAAAAGGTGTGGCAGGTCTCAGGTCTATAGGTTTCATTTGTTTTTTTTGTAAGTGAAAGGGATAGGGCTCCTCTGTAATTTTATTTTTAAATTCTGAGGGATTTTAACCAAAAGTTAATGTTACAGAGGAAAAAAAGAGAACTGATCTTTTATTAAATATTTATTAAAACACGAGTCATTTGTCTTATCTAAACTGTAGAAAAGGAAGTCCACATTCCTATATACAAAGATGACTATCCCTCTGTTATGGTTGCTAGATCCCTTCATGTCAAGCTACACTATGAGCAACAGAATTGAACTCTGTCATACCCTGTGTCATCCTCACAATCTCTGACACACTGAAGTCCACTGCTGCAGTCACTGTGTTAATCCACTCGTTTATCAATCCACTCCTTTGCTGTTTATCCTCCTTTCCAAACATGGTGCCTCTCTCAAAGAAAATAACTTCTCTTAGCAACATGCTTAAAGAGTGAGATAAAGCTTCATCATCTTTGCCTCCAAGAAGCTCTCTGGCTGCACCTTCTACAAGGCATGTCTGTTCATTCTTTTGGCAGTCCATGGGATATTCAGTACTCTTCTCCAACACCACAGTTCAAAGGCATCAATTTTCCTGTCATCCTTATTCATGACTACCTCTAGTGGGGAAATAGTTAACCTGTTATTTCCAACATATTGAGGATGTAGTTTTATGTTTAGTGGTACTAAACGAACTCTTAATTTGGGTTTGACTTTTCTTTCCCTGTGTTAACAGACTTCCTTCCACCTTGATATTAAAGATATTATTGTAAAAGTAAAAAAAAAGGAAGTCAGTAAACTCTTCCTATCTATTAATTTAATAAAAGTGAACAAATTTCTCATAAAAACTACTGAAAGCAGACATATCTTGTAATTGGTTTTCCTTTTACTTACAGCGGGCACACAAGTTTGTGAACAAGATAACATCTTAGTGATAGTCTGGGAGGGGTGGCATTGAAGCTTTATATCACGACATCAAAGTTGCTGAGAGATGAAAGGGCATCTTTGTATTTGCATCGTAAACAAAATTTACATATTATGATATTCCAAGAATCTTTCATTTAAACAGGTGGAAAAACATGGACAGAGACACATATGTAAAACATAAAGTCTTGTGGTTGGTGATTAAATTTTATATGGCTTTGATATAACCACTACAATTAAAGGCTGTGATGTGCAAAGACTTGTTTAGTCCTTTATAGGGAGCACATTGTTTACTAATCCCTGGTTTATGTGATAAATCTCTCATCAATTGGGCACAGCTGCAAATAAATTTTTAAACGGACAATTTTCATTTGGTGTAACAAATTTCATTTTTTTTTGTCTTTTTTTCTGAAGATTTGTAACTTAAAAGAAGGCACTTGGGATGTTTCAACCTGCTCAGTGCAAGTGAGGATATGCCTGGCTGGTAAGTGATACCCTTCACTGGAATTGTGTTTTCTGCAAGTCCATGAAACAGGATGCCATGAGCACACAGACGTGGCTTTGCAGCTCATCATGCTGCTGTCCTGGAGGGACTGTGGCTCAGAACTCCAGTAGCTGTGAGATTCCTCCATGAGAGATGAGCTGAGGCTTCAGGCTCCACGTTGGCTGAGGTGAAGCATACATCACTCCACTTGTTATTTGTCCTTATGAGAAAGGGCAAGAAGATGAATGGCTTTAATCAGGAATTAGTTATGAGGGAATTAACTCTTCTTCTAATTATACCTAGAACCTTTTAAAGACTTCCACTCAAGCTTATTTGATTTCTTAATTATTGAAATAGAAACACCTCTCTGAAATTGCTTTGACTTTCAAAACATAAATGCTGTCATTCATTGGCTATTGCAGTCCACCTTCCAGAGATAAGGATGAAACATTTATAGCACTGAAGCACTGAAATGGCCCAGGTATTTCTTCTGTTTTGGATAATTTTATCTAATATTGTCACTGCAGTTTGTTGCCGAGAGGCTTCTGGAAGAAAAAAACTCAAAAACATTCCAACAAATGGCCTATTTAATTGAGGAGAGACACATTTTATGTCAGCATGAATAAAGATAAATATTGTTATTTCATTAAGTGCATAAATGATATACAAACCATGTATTACTTTATGCATCACACTCAACCTCTGAAATAGCAAACAGTGCCTCTTGGTAACGGATCTCTATTAAACAGAAGCTTCAGTTTTCTAGAACTGACAAGTTTCTTCACATGTTATTATTTTTAGGATCCCAGGAGCTGTGGTGGTTGGTCTAGATGTAAGGTATTGCATTTCAAACCCAAATGCAAGCAGTTTGAATCTATCTGCTCAGAAGAAAAATGGGCAGTCTTTGTCTATGCAATTTACAGCATGTAAAAATCCACTGGAGTGTCAGTTAGAGGTCAATTCCAGCTCATTGGTAATGAGCTTTAGTTAGTTAGTTCTAGCATCGTGCTAATCACTAAATCTATTGCCCTGGAGTCTGTTTCAATATATTAAAACCTTAGGTGTGTCAGAATACAACTGTCCTCCATAGGTTTTCAAAACTAGTATTTCAGAACCTGAGTACCTTGTCTTCCTTCCAAGGCCACTTTTTTTTTTAAATTTAGAGAAACATTGTTTAATGGTAAATCTCAGCACACTCCAGCATGGGGCATGGCTTGGAGTTGAAGCAGCAGGGTCAAGTAGTTGACCCCCATGGAGCCTCACATGGTGAAGAGGATGAGGAAGGTGACCATCAAACAGAAGAGTCCCATGGCCTCAGACAGGGCAAAGCCCAGAATGGCATAGGAGAAGAGCTGCTGCTTGAGAGATGGGAGAGATGGGTTCCTGGCATAGCCAATGATCAAGCCGCCAAACACTGTCCTGATGCCAGCCCCTGAGCCAGCCACACCAACTGTGGCAGCCCCAGCACCAATAAACTTGGCCGCTGTGTCAATGTCCCGGGAGACAACACTTGTCTGGAACTCCCTCCAAGGCCACTTTTGATAGTCTTCAACCACCAACCATTTGATTAACAAAGATACTTCCACCTCCAAAAGACTTATTTGGGTGAGGATGAAACTAGGAAATATAAAGTATATAAAAGAAATTATTTTGTCTTCAGAATCTCACACACTCTACTTGGAAATTTAGTATTACCAGATTATAACACAAGAGGATGTTCTGAAGCACAGTCTCTCTCTCTCTCTCTCTCTCTCTCTC